GCTAATTGCAAACTGCTTTATGTTAATTCCCAATTGCCTATTATTGGTCTTTTTAAAATTTTCTTGAAATTTAGAAACAACTTACATGCACACGTAACGAATAGCTTAAAGCTATTGCTATTCTGCGATTGACAACTAATAGTTAGCAATCGACAATTAGCAACTGTCATTTAGAAATTATTAATAAGCGAAAATTGATAACTTAATATCCTTTTTAGAGAGATACCAATTCTACATAATAAATCTTTGCATTATATTAACCTGTTTCAGTGAATATATGGATTTCTACAAACCAGAAAGAATTTCTTCCAATAATTGTACGAAAAGAATCACAACAAAGTAGAAAATAAAATCACATTTTGTTTTGTGCAAAACAGCTGACTCAGCATATAATTTATTCTCCCACATCAGGTAAAAATATGAAAATAACCTTGAAAATAGTTATTACTTAGTGTATTCCAATCTCTGAATGATTAGATCAAAGACTATTTAACAGGAATGGCGAATTACAAAAGCACGAAGAAAATTGGCATACAACACACAGCGGTCTACTTCTTGTTATACCTCTTTACACTTGAATTTAAAATTAAGCTATTTTCTATCCCCTATTTACCGTTTTTATTATTACAATAACATGTATCTTGTTTATACATATGTCACGCATAGCTGTAGACTTTTCCCCCCACATTTGTGTTTATTACAATTATATATGCAATGTCCTCTCTTACTTAGTTAAATAATGCTTGACTACTTGAAAAAAAAATAGAACAATTGCTTACATGTACGTTTAGCCTGATTTTCTACTGCATCTATTTATGTATCAATACCAAACTAAAAGTACTTCAGTTTATAAATTTAAAAAAAAAATCATGTATACAGGGAATTGTTTGTGACCGAATCTTGTCTTTGATCGCACTAAATAAAAAAAAAACTTTGGATATTTTTAATAATAGTTAAATAACACTCCACATTACCCCCCCCCCCCCCAAAAAAAAAAAAAAAAAAAAAAAAACTATTGAGACGACAATTAGATGAGTCACCAAAATATTGAAGGAGAAGCTTCAGGAGTACTGTGCAACAATATATTCGAGAAGTGGTTTAAATCAGATGCGGTTAGTTAAAAATTCCAAGAAACTTCTTGAAAATTTGAAATCATTTTTTTTACCTAAATCAATAACATAGAAACTTACGACTTTTCGACTCTATATACAACCATTCCCCACGATAATTAAAGTCCAGGCTTTTCGACATCATTGACAGCTGTTTTTTCAATAAAAATGGAATTCGTAAATTTACTTACGTTGTCATTGGTCTTTTGCAAAATTATTTTGTTAAAAACATTCTGATTCTACACATGAGTACTCTGAAGTTGATATTAAAAAGATGCTTGAGTTTCTGATTGACAATATCTATGTGGTTTTTTTGGAGACCAGGTCTTCCAACAATCTGTTGGAATTCCCATGGGTACCAATTGCGCCCCATTACTAGCAGACCTATTTTTGTATTCATATGAAGCAGAATTTATTCAAAATCTTATACACGAGAAAAAGAAATCTCTTGCTGTGGCCTTCAACTCGACAGTTAGATATATCGACGGCGTATTGTCAATTAACAAAAGTTTTTCTATTCATATGTCGACACGATATATTCCAGTGAGCTTGAATTAAAAGATACCACAGAGTCTGACGCATCTGTTTCATATTTAGATATTTTACTGGAAAAAGACGTTAATAGTAATCTAACAACAACGCTTTATGATAAACGTGATGACTTTAACTTTTCAATAGTCAACATCCCTTACTTATGCAGCAATATACCCTTATCACCTGCATAAAGGGTGTTTATTTCTGAGTTGATTCAATGCGCAAGAACACGCTCTACATATGAACAATTTCTAAAGCAAGGTAAGTTATTGACAAACAAGTTGATGAAACAATAATATCAACAGTCTCGTTTGAAGTCATCATTTCGTAAGTTCTATGGTCGATACCATGACCTTGTCAGCAAATACAGTCTATCATTAAGTCTTTTGCTGACTGACGCTTTTCATATTTATTGTTAGGCCATTATTTACACACTGAATTATCTACGGATTTTCCCTTTATTTCCCGACCATGACAAGGAGCACACGGCGGGTGTGACCGGTCGGCAGGGGATGCTCACTCCTCCATGGCACCTGATCCCATCTCTGATGTTTTTGGATGTCCGTGTTTGCTCTGCTCCCGATTTGTATTGTTTCAATGGACTTTGAGACTATTTCATTATTTGTAATGCATATATATCTTATTTCCCGTGCATTATTCGTTAAAGAGGTTTCAAAGAGTCAAAATTTTACTCAGCATAAAACTATATTTACAAATTGGTCTTATCATGTTTATCTACTTGATGTAAAATCTGTTCATGTGCAACTAATTCATTTTTATCAATTGGCCATTAACAATGCAATATTGAATTGTCCAGTTTGAACGATAAGAGTGTTTCAACCCAGCTCACGCTAAACTGGACGGAAAAGATAAGTATAAATATTAATAGTTTATAGAATTAATGTTTTTCATAATACATTTTTTAATACTCAAGAAATAGACCAAACAGTAAGAATTACGAAATATACAACTTGTATGTCAAAATAGCTGATGCAAAACTAACAAGCAATTATCTCCACTGCAAAACGACCAATTTACTAATGGTGTGCAAGTGTATCACTTGTAAAGCGTATGAGTGTTCAAACAATCATTATAGTGTGTAGGTCACTAAAAAGTCATGATACAATTTGTCATGGGCTGTTCCTAGGAATGTCTTACCCGAGGTTTTTGTTTGCTCCGTCAGAAGTACTTATGCATTAAGGCTGATTAAGTCTGTCAGTCTGATATTGGTGATGCTATTTTGTGTCGATGATTTATCGTTTAAAAATTTCTGTCCTTCTTCTCCTCTTTGGACTTAGGGGATAATAAAAGCAGAATTCGTTTCTTATCAGCTCTGTTGTCTAAGCTCACAACTGTTTTAAAAGATAAGGAAAATTCTTAAATACGTAAAGTTTGTGATAAAAGTAGAAGTCTATTGCATATATAAGGATAACCAAACCATTCTAGGATATTGTTTGAAAGTTGTAGGTTATAAAGAATTCTAATAAAGTAGTCAGTAAAAGACAAAATGAGACCATGGTTAAGGGGCAGCTTGGGGTCAAAAATAAGATGTAAGACAGGTGTCTGTTAAGAGCTGATGTTGGGAAATCTACGGGAAAACCAGTAAAAAAAAGGTTGAAAAGGGTTCAAGACAGCAAGAAAATATATTAATTAATGTAGGCATCAGTGGGGCCAAAATCGTCCAGGGTATGGAAATACATGTTATAAATAATGTTGGTCTCAGTGGAGCCAAAATTGGCCAGGATATGGAAATACTGTTATAATCAATGTTGGTCTCGGTGGAGCCAAAATTGGCTAGGGTGTGGAATTACATGTAATAATTAATGTTGGATTCTGAGTAGCCAAGGTGTAAATGCGATTGAAGTACAAGTATAAAGGGAGTTAGTAAGAGAGAGACAGGAAAAGACATAACTACTTTGCTACTTCGGTTGTGGGACAAAAGCTGAAAATGTAGGAGGTAACCACATGACATTTTATCTGCGAATTATATCTTTATCAATTTATATCGAGATAAAGTAAAGCTAGTATAAGATTACACTATTCCGACGTGAATAGTATTCAATATAATGTCAAATCTATTATAGTGATTAAGTTACAATACAAAGTTGTCATTGATCAATTATACAGAAATACATAGAAGTTCATACACAAGCAAGGTTTCCTAGCTTTAGCTTACACTTTCCAAGGCCACATGATAAAAAGGTGAAGAAAAGAACAGTGATCGATCTAAAAAAAAAACAATTTCCAAACAAAACAAATCTGTAAACAGGGCATAAAACACGAACCCTCGGAAATTCCAGGTGTGGGATCAGGTGCCTATGAGGTGTAAGCATCCCCTGTCGACCGGTAAACCCGTTGTGCCCTATATATATTGATCAGGTAGACGGAATATTCCGTAGTCAAATTTAGCATAAAACATAGGCCTAACAAGTGGTATGAAATACTTAGTCAATTATAACCTATTTATAGTTTATATGTGCTAACAAAGTCATTATAATGACCAAAAATTTTACGAAATGCTTACTTTAAATGTGGTTGTTTAAATCCCTGAAACATCAACTCTATTAGTAGTCTGTCTTGGTTTAAAAATTGATCGTTCTAAGAGGATTCTGTTGAATATAACTTACCCTTTAATGCAAAAAGTTCGCCAGTTTTCCTATACCCAACATTAAAATTGGTATAAAAAATCACATCATCAATTTACAAAGAATTATTGGGAATTCTGATCTCTTTTTAACAAGATGGGAGTAACTATGTAAATTATAATTGATATTTTTCACTTTTTTAATTTCCATGCAACAAGACATTAGTTTTTTTTTCAATCACATGATATTTTTTTTGGTATGTCCTGTAAGAGACAATAAATGTAAAACCCATTTAGAAGTGAAACATGTTTACAATTTGACGCTTTCAATTTTAATTTCGAGATCTGTGTAGATAAAATTATGTAACTTTATGATAATTGCTGGCATGAATCTGGTTTCGTTAAACCTATTTATAAGTTACACAAAAGTTCTTAACATGCTAGGGAGTACTTAACTGAATGTGATCGGCAGAAATTGTAATTTTTAAAATAAATCCTTAACTTATATTCTTTTTAACTCTTATTTATTTTTTTTATTTGTATAAATAACAGGACAGTTTATTTTGTATCAATACAGGAAGAAAAGCGCCACTTCAGAGACCATTTTTATACTTGGAAATCAATCACACTTCTCAGAGATTCCGGTTATTGTTCTGCCGCCTAAGTGTTGACCAATCATTCGATTTCATTAATATTTATCAATAATGGCACCTTTCGTGACGCGCCCTACGCAGTGAAATCCGTGCGCAAACTATGCTGTCTTCGAATTCAGATATAAACGAGAATCAGAAAGTTTATTGCTAGTTTTTTTTAAAGAAGAGATATTACTTAGTTTAAAAGGTAAGTGAAATATGAACTGAGATTAAATGCCTTTAAATGTAAATGAGACTGTCAATTGAGATGTATATCTCCTTTTTTGAAATCGAGAAGATAATTTAATTGAAAATTTCACCAAAAGTTTTTAATACTTTTAAGAACAGATATAAATATTTTTGTATTCTTTGTAGATATTTTTTTTGAAACATAAGTCTCAATCAATACATTTTATGAAACAGAATCACTCATGTAAACTTATTTATCTTTACCGATATAAAGCGACTTCGAACTTTTCAAACATTAACGTAGTTATTAACCTGCAATGCTCGATATTAATTACTTGTATTTTCTCTTTATTGGACACATTTACACAATAATCGGAATCTAAGTTTATTTTTTAGGTATATGAAAAGTAAAAAAGATTCAGTATTTCAATCGTTTAATAACACATTGGTATGAGCTTTCATGACGCATTGTCGTGTTTAAACAATATCAACACTTTATTCAAAAGTGAGAAATAGATACATTAAAAAATATCAACAGTTTTTGAAACAACCCTTTCGAGTTGTTATGAAATTTATAATTGTAATGGGCACCAAATTTCATGGATTTTTAAATTTTTACTTTTTTCTTTAAGCATGGTTTCGAAAGAATGTTTTTAAAAAATAGAGACTTTTATGTGAGCATTCCATTGAAGATTCCATTTCATTTTTCATTAAGATTGTAAATTCATGACATCTACGACATATAATAACTTCATAGTAGTTGTGCATTAACCTGTACCTTTATATTGATTCCGCTAGTCGAAGAGACCTTCATTTACTTACGATAATAATTCTTTTTTTTTTTTTTTGATTGGCACTTCTCCTATAAACTAAATTTCAGAAGCTAGAAATCATATGACTTTTTTGTATAAAAAGTATGTGTAATATCCGCGATGAATTTATTTCTCCTCCTACAGGTTTAACACATCCCATAAATTTAGAACTCCTTTGATTCAATGGATGTGCTTTATAGAGCTAAGAACAATGTTAAATCAGAATGACAAAAATGAGCATATTACGGCATTTGCCTAAAACATGCTTAAATTATGTTTTAATCATAAGCAAAAGTAATTGAAAAAGGAAAATAAAATGTGCTTTACAATTGATTTTGCAGAATCTCTTAATGTTTTGGAAGTTCCATTATGACATTTAAAATGCTTGTTTAAAAACTCTGATGAGAAATGATTCATCATACCTTGATTTAATCAATTTTTTGCATCTGTTCCCAGCAGATTTCCAGTTTCACAACAGTTCTTAAGATTACCCTTTACCAGACTATAATTTAAATCAGAGACGGTCTCTGCGAGACATGCACTTCTAATAAGGCTAGAACAAGACACATTTTAAAAACTGTTTTGTCTTTTTAATTTATTTTCTCGTTTTTAGGAAACATAGACTTTGGCTAGGCTGACTACAACGTTTTTATAGGTTTCGCTCGTAATAAAATCATAAACTCAAAAATCTTTTTTTGATCTCCTTTCATGCTGACCACTGCCCCAAAGCGCCCAGGTTTCCTCCCCATTGGATTTTCTTAATGGATCACAGTACACTATTTTTGTATACGTGTACTTTCTTAACTAAAAACGCCTTTTCAAGTACCAAAGTGTAACTTTCATCTCTTAGTTTGGGATTAATGGAGGGTCTTTTACATCATTGATTACAGCTGTAGAGTTGTTACTCGTATTAACTGATGGCGGAGTCCTTGTCTATTTCCGTTCACGTAACACATTGCTGGTACCTCCCGGGTTAGTATAACACTATAATAGTAATAGAATTCCTTAGTTCAAATGAAATCAATGATGGGGATATAAATATTTCCTGTGCAATGTGGTTTGAGAAATCCATATGTGTGATTTGTACACTTTCGTCATTAATAAGATCCATCATAGACACCAATTATAATATCATCTATGATTTTCTCTGCGTGATCTGATAAGACAAATTTAAGTAATGGCCTGAAATGATTTTTTTGGTCCCTGGGTCTCAAAGTTAACACCAATTCATATATATCTGACATCCCAGGGGTGCGTGGGTTCAAATACTAGTAATGACTTAATTGTGTAACTTGCGCGTATAACGTAATCGAGCACTTCTGTACTGGATACAAAGAATTTCCCTCGAACGTCAGTAAGACCCGACAGCTTACATTAAACTGCAACAATCAAGCATGCGTTGTTTGTAGTAAAAAGAGACTTGGTAATACATGTAGTAAATTGCTATAGAATCTACTCTGTTTTATCAAATAATAAAATCTTCTTTTCGTATAACCATTCTCATAAATATCTCCAGACACTAAATTGAACATGGTATTTCTATAAAAAAAAATATATAGAGGAATCATTTTCCCCCTTATATCAAAGGATTTAAATTTGCATTTATACAAGAAGTTCCTGAAATGCATGCATCTTACATAGATATTATACAAGCGTATGTTGTTACCAAATTAAAAAAAAAATTCCATGTTGGATAAAATTGTTGTGTTGCTAGTTGCGTATACTTTTAATATAGAACGAAACTTGCAACCGAAATTAAAGAATTGGAGTTAAATCAATTGCTTATTAATGCATTCGTTAACCTTTCTTGAAAAATTAATTATAATGTGGTAAAATAGATTCTTTTCTGGTGATGAATGGCCTTAGAATCTCATTCCAGAAAAGCTTTTAAAAGTCAAATACTCTTTTCCTCCTGATTCACAATGGTACTTGTAATATACGTAAAATTCCTTGGAAAGAGTTTCAATGTCACACATATGAGCGAAGCCTTTTTATTGGATTTCCTTTGTCTAAGTAAAAAAATGGGTTTAATTACAATTTCTTTCTTTACAGTTTCTCAATTCAAAGTTAGAGAAAAAGAAACCTGTATAATGGTGAATTTACAGCGAGCCCTGTTCTCTCTTTTGTTCCTCATTTCGTATTCTGTGACGTCAGCAACCCCTGATCCTCTTTGGAATTCAGCAGCGGTAAGTAACGAAAGGATTTAGAGGGGATAGATAACATTGTAGGCTAGGAATGGATTGAAAAAAAAATATCATATGTATTGAAATATTTGAAAATTAATTAAACTTACCAATTGTCATCATTTTTTCAAAGCCTTCGTCCATAGTAAAGCAAATATTTGAAATAAAGATTTTAGAACAAATACTGGATGTTCGCTAAAATCTGTAACTTACATGGGGACAAACTTACAGGCTGTCCTAAAACAGAAGCCATCTTTGTTGTTTCCAAGATTCTGCTCCATATAGAAGGATTCCTATTTTTTAATTGGTGTTTGTGTTGACCTTCGACCTCCAGATGTTTTTTAGTAAGACAAATGGTAATCTGACTTCTGAAATGCATGCTTGAATATCACTTTCCTCTTTTCCTTTTATATTGACCCTGTTTCCAAGGTACTAGTATACAGATTTGAAAAGGTCCAAGTCTTCAAGCATCTGTATCAAAGTCCAACTGATCCTTCTTTTTATGTCTCCGCTAGCTGCAAAGACAAACAACCTTTTTATTCATGTTCGAAGTTTGGTCTCTTCGTTAGACTAGATCCATGAATAACTCTTATACTGAATTCAGTATATAACATCTTTTTGTTAGACACGATTTTATCTGGGTTGTTACAATGGTAGAGATTTTTCCGCTGGGCCAGTAGGATAACTCTTCCAAAATCTTTTGTAAAATAATGAATTTGATGGACACAAATAGATCTCTTTGTTGATAATTAAACATTTTGTTCTCCTTTACAAGTTAATGGAAAAAAGTACAATACCTCTTAGTCTGAGTTGTCTTAACTATCATTTTTGATGAGTGACAAAAAGGATAACTTTTGCTAGATTCATAAAATAAAATGTATGGGTTTTTTTGGTCACTGAATTTGGATTACTTTGTAAATATTCATAATCAAACACTTATGATTTAATAAGTATAAAATTAGTCCAGTTAATATTTGATTGAGACAAATTTATTTGGTTTACTGGCAACATCTTCAATAGATTTTGCAATGATCAATTTTAAATTCCAATGTGACTTACGCCTTGAGTGATTATTTCTGAAAGATTCTAATTGTGACTTTTCAACGTACAAATTCTAATTTGTTGAAATTCAAAAATTTAAAACACATTTTAGTGTTTTCATTATTGCAGCATATTTGTAAGCCCATTAGAGCTATCAGCGAGTTCTGATAAAAAATGACGAGATTTCCTGATCATAAGGTCCTAAGAATATCTAAACGTATATCAAGTTTTTTGAAAATGTGTTAAAGACGATTTCAACCGTTTTAAACATGGATTATTGAATCCGCGCATTGATCTTATTGATTTTTTTTGGTTTATTGTTTAACGTCCCTCTCGAGAATTTTTCACTCATATGGAGACGCCGCCACTTGCTGGTGGAGAGCTGCAAATTTTGACCTATGCTCGGCACTCAGGGCCATTTCGCAGTGAGGGATCTTTTTCGTGCCAGGATCTACTGCGAAACGGGACCTCGGTTTATACGGTCTCATCCAAAGGACCGGTCTCCACGTCCCACAGTGGGATTCTAACCCTCGACTTAATCATCAACTCCTTACTCCGCGACTCTTGAGCAGACGCATTGTGGCTCTACCACTGCGCCACGCGGGCGACTGTTATTGAATGTGAATGTTATCTACTAAATCATTAGAAATTGACGAGTTGCAATAATTTTTATTCGTTAGTAATTGGCGAATTTCCATATTAAAGACAACGTAATGTGATGGCTTACTACTACCTTTTTTTTGTTCTATGTCTTTTATGCATATCAGGATATTTAGATATCTATGATTGTTTTCCATCTTATAAAATTTTCAGCAATTATTATTTAATCATGTATTTGATACTAAACTCTCGAATTATGAGCGGCATCTGATAACTGTGTCTCTGGAAGTTCAATATTAAAAATGAAGCAAAAATAGTTAAAGGATCACAGCAGTGTGTGTTTTAAAGCTATTGTAGGTATGAACTGTAACACGTGTATATATATATATATATATATATATATATATATATATATATATATATATATATATATATATATATATATATATATATATATATATATATATATATATATATATATATACATGTGTATATATATATATACTTTCACACAAGTTTGTGGTTTTCTGTACAAAATAAGGATAAAAAGGTTTTTGTGGTTTTAAAATTGCTTACCGGATAGCTAGTATCGGAAATTATCTTAAACAAATAAAGAATATATACTTTATAACTTTGAATTATAAAACGATTTATGACCGATCTCTTTGAGAGGATACTTGAATCAAGGCAACTTAAAATAAGATAAACCTTAATATATCCTACAGATTTTTGAACAAGGTAAATAATGCATATACATTGTGATAAATCCGTGAAACAAACTTTAAGGATACATGTATTGACTACTTCGAGTAAAATATTCATTTGTGAAAATATTACGTCTCGTCTTCTTAATATTAGAAACTGGAAGGACACATCTCTAATCTATTGAGATATCTACATGTATCTGTATAAGACGAAGACCATTCAAGAATTATCAGTCAATTACTTTTATCAAATTATTTCTTCCTTTTTCTTTCATTTAATTCTGTGTAAAGGGGGCGTGAAATATAATAAAAGTCGAGCAAGGAGCGACACAAGCCACGATCTAACAACCCTTTTTCAGGAGTTTAGTGTCCCATGTGGTTTTTAGGCGAAAATAAAAGCGTTAAAGATTCTCTTATTGCTGCACAAATTAAATTTTTACACGTGACAATCACACTAACGTTATCTCAAGTCCGAAGCCTTGATTTGATTTTGCTTCGGTTTGCAAATTCGTCTATTACCCGCAGGTCCACTGTGGTTCGACGACGTGACCACTTTAAACCCGACCTCACTTTTCAAGATTTTGCACACTGTGGTGTTTAAAAACTGTGTATAGAAGCCACTCAAATGGGAATAAGCATATTTATTTAATGTACCCGTAAGAAAATGCTTACGTATGTGATTTCTCTATTTGATATATAAAGTTCAATAAAAGATTCAAAAGTGTTTTAAAGTTTCTTCAATAAATTGCACAATATAGGATCTACTGAGTGCTTCAGAGTAATTATTTTAGTCAGAAATTGAGTTTTAAAGTACAGACATAAAGTTTCATTTACTGGTATCTGTAACAGTCGATAAAAATCTATGTAACATGCCGAACCCTGTAATTGGCGAAAAACAGCTGTTATCCTTAAAGTAGTGCTTCCAAAAGAGGAGGAAATGCTGAACGTCTCTTCTAGGAAATCTTGTAAACTCTTTCAAGCCTTTATCTGTCCTGAAGCTTTGTTAACACTTTACTAATCCCGAATTATTATTTTTAATTTAATAAATAAGGAATTACTTGGTCAGATCGTAAACTAAGTGGACGCAGGGGGTCTCTAATTAGGAAGCTTAACACAGAACTAAATTAAGCGATGCATTAGGACCAAAGGCAAAATGGCGAGAGATACAGGCAGTGATATAGATAGACTAGAGACCGCTGCATATTTTTTGTTGCAGTGATGGATGTTGAATACTTTTTACCATCTGAGAAAATAAGTAAATCAGTTGTCAAAAGAGCTCTGATATTTCTTTGCCCAGAAAAAATGTTAACTCTTAATGTTTCTCTATGGAACAAAGACAGATGTGGCATTTTGGCATGGTATTGAAGCAGTAAATCAAACCCCTTACTAAATAGTTAAATGACCACTGATATTTTCTTCTACGCTCGTTATATTTGTAAGAAAATGGTTATAATAAGTTTCAGACATTTCTGGTTAACCAGAAGATTTATCTGTGGTGACCCATGTGTCAAATTTCATCTGAGACTCGGGAAGAAATATCCATTTTACCAAATTATTCTATATTAACGCTTTTACAACAATTTATCAAATCAGTTTGATCAAATTTGGTCCTTTTAGTAGAATTTAGACAGTATCATGGAACAATTTTTGATAACAATCTGAAACACGAAGTTTGTAAGATACAAGGAACAAAAACGAAAACAGAATCAGATATTTAAGATGAATCGACTTGCTTGGCAACCCTAAGTACATTTTCCACATCTAGTATACTTGTATAAGAATGTCAATGTGAATTGTCCGTACAGTTAAGCGATACATAAAAGAAAGCTGTTTTTTCTTCCTTCCACATTTGTTTTGGGTCATTTTGTTGACTTCAGATATTGTTTCCTTTTGTTTAAATGGTTGTCACACAAAATTACTGAACTTCTTTACATTCAATGATTTAATGATTATAAGGATCAATTCCAAAATATGTTGCCTTAATCGTGTACACTCATTTTTGTCACAGAATTTGTGTATTTTCTCTTTCCCTGAAGCTTGTTTGATTTTTAAGTTATCAACGATGTGTTTAATGTTTAGAATATTGCACTATTTTGACTCTCTGACAATAATACCTTCAATTTATGTCTTTTGTTCTAGGAATCAACAGACATGGAAGATTCAGAAGACAGTGTAGAAAGAATTGACAAACCTTTACTAAACTTTTTAATTACCCGTAATGGTCTTGAAAGTGCAGGCATTCCAGCATCAATTGCTGAAAAAAGATATGGATTTGCAGCCATGAGGGGAAAGAAGTTCTACAACGATTTGGAAAGTCCAATAGTGAGGAACAGTAAACGTGCTCGCTTTTTCGGACTCCGTGGGAAAAGAGTTCCAAATCTTCGACACAAGCTTTCAGACGAAGAATTTAAAAATATTCTTGGAAAACTATTGAACGATGCCTATGATTTTTCAACGAATTCAAACGATGCAGGTCGGTATTGAGCTTTTTTCTATTTCTGTAAATTCAATCGACTCAAAAGAAAAAGTTTCTGTAAATATGCATGTACAATGAACAAAATTGTTTGAGGATGGAGTATTTGATACGGGATCAAAATATTAATGTACTTGATGAATTAGGGCGAACCCAACAATTTAAAAAGCTTTCAAGAACTTTTTCAAAATGGAAACCTTTTCATGGACAAATATCATTTAGATAATTGATAATTCTATCCTCTCATCGACCTATTGTAATCTCTATTCTGAGTACTTCTAATCTAATGTACGCATTGCAAGTTTTCTGGGAAGCCGAATTTACCGAACACAAATAACGACTCACCTCTAGCATGTTAGAGTACAACATATTCTAATCAAACAACATCTTTGATTGTCCCTAAGATCAAAGGCAGTTTTAATACTGGGGGAGGCAGATGTGAAAGATCCATCAAATATATAGAAAAAATCGTAGTCAGTCTTCCCATTTTAACGGTTGATTAAATATTTACACACTCACCCTGTCCCTATTCACCCAAATCAATGTGTAATTAAACGATGGTATCTAGCGATAATATGCAATCATTCCGTCAATTTAGCATTTCAGATACGAATTCAATTAACGCAACATTGAAAATTATGCTTTCTAGATTAATATAACTATGACACGTTATACGATTGCTATAACCCAATAGGAAAACTGATAAACTTGAGTCTAGATAGCTTCGCCTTTGTTTACTAGAGAAACACCCAGGCCTTGCATTGATTGGTAGTGGGATCGAACACCAAAAGATATTATTAAACGATTAATTTCAAAAGTCATCACTGTTTCTAGGAGGACTAAAAAATTATTCATCAAAGGATGGATAATGATAGAATTATTAAATTCAAGTGGCATAAAATCTGTGTAATACAATCAATATGAAGATTCCATTTTTTTTTATTCTGAAGGGACTTTGTACATTACACCAGTTACGAACAATGCATTATTGATGAAGTTTTTTGTAATACTCATTTTGATCACTAACAATAGCAGAAGCCCGAATCACAACCTCACCACAATCTCGATGGAATATAATCGAATTTAATTGAATATGTGTATATACAAATGTCGACGAATTAGTATCATTCAGGTTTATTTAAAGGTCTATGCAAAACATATGTGATCCCTTTTATAAAAAAAAAAGTCATTGTGCAAAAGTGTATGTATGTAACCGTACATACTTGTATCTATGTGTAATATAATGTGTATACCAATCAAAACAAACAAATGATTGCAGACATTGGTTACCAAGGGTTCACCTGAAGTACATGTACTTAAATAAATTTGAACTGAATAATTATATTCTCCGTTGAGCTCTATGCCTGGCCAGGGTTTCTGTATAATAGTCTTTCCTTTTCTGCCCCTTTCCAGCGATCTTGTGGATACAGCACACAACTACTTCCGCTAGATTAGTCCAGCTGATTAACCAGGTATTCAGATGTACTTTCTTTTTCCCAAGATGAATATATATCCATCAAATCATTTCTGACCAGGGGACATAAAGGAAGCATTTGAAGATCATAAAATCTTTAAAGATTGTAGTATCTAATTTTCTTACATTCGTCAGAGGATGTTTACATGAAAAGCTGGAAAATATATATATCAAATAATTCAGAGAGCTTTGCTATCCCATATAATAATAGCACTATGCATAGCACTAGCAATCATAGCAATAAGGAACATTTAGGGGTCGATGGGTTGGTATACATGCCAATCTCATTTCAATAAATGACAGATCAAAACTCTGATGAAGGCAGAAAAGCAATCTAAATAGAATGTTTCCTTCGATGTAAACGGTAAACATTCCATTCTTTTATAAATATCTCAGTGGCATAACTTTAAATTGTGGGTTCAAGACATTTTCTTTTTATAATTCTATCAGCTTTATTGGGGTTATATTGTTATGTAATGCTGTTAGGAATTACATTTATGAGAAGAAAATGCTAATCGCACAGTAGACAATGGTACTTTCTCCTTTCTCTAGTCGTGTATCATTCCAAGTGATGACGCAATTAGCGCTACGATTTGGATACCGATATGCAAATTTCCAAATTAGATAATTGCTGCCTTGGTTTTTCGGATACAAAATCACTTTTCAGAATAGTAATAAAGAATAATTTCAACAAAAATATCTTTATTTACGGCATGTAGCAATTATATGATACGAAAATTGATTCACCGTAAATATCGGTAAAACAGCAGCGTCTTATCTCATTTAGCGCTTGGCTGATATAAACAAGAATTGCAATTAGCTTGGAAATAGATCCGTGAAATACGGGTGCCGATATTTATAAATTCGTGCGTATAACATTTCTTCTACAAGGAGAATTTCCATAATGAATACGATTTCTTTTGATTTATTTCGTGTTATAAGATCCCAAAAGATAGAGTTTTTTCAACACATTCTGTTTCATTATTCGCCCGGGCTGTAACTTCCGGTAACTGTTGTTTGGACTTCGTATTTAGACTGATGTGTATACAACCAGGAAACAACCAGCTTAAACCTTGCAAGTCATTAAATACGTGTAAAAAGGGGAAATCTACAAAAGTTAGGAAGGGGCGGAAAGCACAACCTTGTCGCCGTAAGATGGCGTAAAAAATTCCCTTTTTAGTTTTTCATGACTTTCAACCAGCGAACATGAAAAAAGTTCTTGTGTTGTAATTTGCATCCTGAGGCCTAGTGTAATAGATATCAGGAGATGGTGTGGGATAAATTAAATGCTACGATTTAAGCAATTTTTATCTATCAATATTATACTTTGTAAACAGAATAATTATGTAGTGTCGCTTGTGATATTGAAGCTGTGTTGTGAAAAGCGCGTTCAATGTAAAAGTTCAAGGAAGTCCTTCTAATATTTTTAGCTCATTCAGTGTACACAGTGGGTGGAACATGTAATATTGGGTAAATTTATATATGATAAAAGAGGCCATACATTTCAAAGGCAACACACGAGGTCTTTGACAAACTAACTTTGATGAAAATCTATCGTCGTGTCATTGTATGTCCTATTTTCTCGTAGGTTTTAAGTAAAACAAATTGATTTATTATGTGGTTGGAATTCTTTCACAGTGGGGAAGAAGGGGGATTCTGTTGATGAATGCCTCTTTGAGGGAAAGTGCTATATATTTTAATTTCTTTTGACATTTTAACTGTCTTTTATCCTGATTTTGTTCAGGCACTATGATGATAGTCATAGAAAGTACACAAAAAACGAAACTGGAAAGATAAATCAATTTTAATACCAAAGTTAAAAATTCATAAAGATACATCCACTAAACATTTCGGGACAATAGTAAGTTTAATGTGTTAGCAAATGAAATTCTTGTATTCAAAATCAAGATATGAAGAGAATTAAATAGGCTGTGCTGTCCAATCCTATTTACTTTATTAAAAAATATTTCTTAAAGTATTGGCATGAGAGTAGTGAAACCTTAATGACCATCTAAAGACTTACATTTACATTTCCAAAGTTTTCCCTTCTATAACACTATTTGAACAAGGAGTATTTAATCCTGTATACATATAAACAGTTTTGTCACATTATCGTACTCATAAAGTACCTACGTAATTTCACAGTCACGTCATAAGTGGTCGACATGTTCAACACATTCAATTTTTACCGTTTAGGATTGAAAAACATAAATTTAAGTGTAGTGCGATTTATGATGGCATCGACATGAGAGAAATTATCCAAACTTTGATGTGCCCATTCAATAAATACACGACTTAAGGTAAATTCAAGGTTACTCAAGAGTGGACTTTTCATTATACTACTACGTCTCATAACAGGTTAAATGTCCAAGTAATAAAATCTTAATTCAAAATAATATTTAATTTCTTCATACTAATAATCTTTATCTTTCAACATCATCGACACATAAAGAGAAACAATAACGCTCTTCCCGCATTTTTGATTATTTTCAACTAGGGGAAACTAATTTGAATACACGGGTGAAATTTTCAAAACTTTATATGTATTACATGATAATAATTAAAGTATTAAATAATGATTTAAGCTGTTGAATATATTTACGTCTGCTGTTCACTGTGTCCACTACTCTCTACAGTTTTTTCTTTCTTTTTATACGTAGATTAGCAAATTGACATATATAATGCAAAAATGTATGAATGAACCTTATATTATTCAGGTTTGATATAATTAAGGAATGCAAATTCTGCAGCTTGGCTAAAATTTTCCTTAAAGATATCGGAAAATTAAGATTTTTATATACTGAGAGTAAATGGTTTAGAGATCCCGTATTTTTTTTAACGAAAACAACGGACATGCTAGCTTAGACTTGACTACAATTTAATGCTATCGCTATTCGTTTGAATTGAAAAAAAGTGCTTTGCAACTGTCATATAAGTTGGGATGGATATTACATTATCACCGTCACTGCCATTCGGTACTTTCCTTATTTTAATTTCATATGTAGATACTTTTTTCTTAACATAGCCTCTGCAGCACTCTTAAAAGTGTCTCGGGTGAACAATGTTCTATCATGTTGTAAATTTTGAATTTACTAGGTGGAGGTAAGTGCAAAATTTACAACATACATATAAAAATTAGTTATGATGTTGTAAATTTTGCCATCCAGTAAATTCAAAATTTATAACATGATTTTTTTCTTGCCTCTCTCCTTACATGTGTAATACTTACTTTATATCTTTTGTCTCAAAAATTATAGAAACAAAATCTGAGTACACCTCTTTATTTTATTTTTCAGATTCCAGTCCAGAAAAGCGATTCCGCTTTACTGCTCTAAGAGGGTGAACGTCAGATCACGCCTAGAGAAGCCAGATATGGATATTTTTGCAAATTATTTACTAAGGACGTGGTGCATTTAACATCTGTTTCTTTTATAGACAGTTGATATATGTGTTCATCGAAGTGTCTTCACAAATTCATTCAATTCTAAGTTAAAGTAGTCCTCTTTTTTTTGAAGAAAAATTCTGTGTACATTTATTATTGACAATTTGAAAGACAATTAATTCAAAGTTGTTATTTCTTTTTGTTTAAAATAAATAAAAGCATCACCCTTACTATGCATTATTTTTTATAATATAATGTAACTTTACGTAATGTATGAATCAATAGTAATAAACAATTTAGGTAACAGCAATTTTGAACTGAGATAATGTGGTTCCTTTTTTTTAATTTGAGCCATGTCCATTATGCAAATTTCAAGTTTTAACATAGCCTGCAGATAATGCATCGGTTTGAAATTACACATCTTCGCTAGCCAAGGGTTTCTGATGCGCTACTCTCATAAACCCTTGGCATACGGTGCTGACAAAAGACGGGATTGTTTTCGTCACGTGATCACGCTTCTTACCAGGTACGCACAGATTTCGTCATCGACAGAAATAAAAAGCGAATTTGAAAATATGTTTTTAAAGAATAATTAACAAGAAGGTATTGAGTTATGTTAATTTGCTATTTAAACATGTTAAAATCCAAATCTACATCTTCAGTATGGATTCTTAATCACATATTTTGCACGTAGCTTAAGATATTGGGTGACACCATATAGCTATTCATAGAATGGCATGTTATCTTACGGATCGTTGTTTACTTGCGTTTTTCATTCCCGATATTAAAGAGTCAAGATATATCCCGAACGCAAATATCATCATTTACAAAAAACAATTGCTGATTGGTCGAATGATGTCGATCAACTCCAATCACAGCTTGAGGAAAAAAAATCCCAACTTTTTTTAACACCGTATGTCAAGGGCTTATGAGGAGAGTAGCGTATCAGAGACCCTTGGCTAGCGAAGATGGAAATTACATAATTCTCAGTCTTTCCTCAATAGAGTCCTATAGTTTTTAAACAATTTCTATAACGAGACAAGGTATTGACAAATAAGATCATGATACAAGGATAAAAACAGTCTCGTTTAAAGTCAACATTTTCGCAAATACTTTGGTCGATACAATGACCTTGATAGTAAATACAATCTTTGTTAAGTCGAACGTTGAACGACGTCTTTTCATACAAATGTTTGGCAACAATTTTCACACTGAATTGTCTACGAAATTTTTATATCTGTCCGAACATGACAAGGAGCACACGGCGGGTGTGACCGGTCCACAGGGGATTCTTACTCTTCCATGGTCACTGATCCCGCCTGATATTTTTATGGGTCCATGTTTGCTCTTCTCTGAATTTGTATTCCAGTGGACTTTAGGGCTTAATTACTGTTCGTTATCTCCATATTTCATCATCAAGATGCTATTTCTTCTCCCAGTTCCTGATTATCGCCATTTTAAATTCCTTATATTTGGACATAAGCTTTATATGCGTTTTGGAATGATCATTAGTTAAAAGTAAGAAGAATCAAAAGTTTTCTTTTCTTTTTAAAACATTCATGTGCAATACTTACTTTCACTCAAATAAACGTTCTCAAAAAATGTTTAAATGCTTTTAAATTTTAGAAAATAGCGACACAAGTTGTATATTAACCATAGTTCGAGATATTGTATTAAATCTTATAATTAAAATTTTACGTTTTCTTTGTAACGGTCAATTTATGAAATGGTTATGATAAGATGCTTCACTAGGATTTTTGTGGGTGAACTCTTCATGAAATAATGACACGGTTTTCTGTGGGATGGGAATATGTATGAATTGTTTGTGGAGGAGGAGGATAAAGAGGATTTTACTCTAGGCGGTGCAGACATATGTCTGGAATGGGATGAAACAAAACCAGGAATCGAAAAGAATCGCCACCATCCTGTAATAAGTCCAAAGAAGAAAATTGGCCATGCCATTATAATTTAAAACATTTGACAAAATCGTTAAAGATACAAGTGTATAATGCAAAGCACAATTGTTGCTATACATTGTTTTATAAGGTGTACTCAGAAATTTGTATATAACCGTGAATATCATTGTTATTGTACATATATATATACATGTAGTCCTTAATAAAACAAACCTGTCCTAAAAGTCATTTGGTAAAAGTGAGGAAAGTTGTAGATCTAGTATATAATATATTTCATTAGAACTCTGTAACATTAGGACAGACACAAACCAGAGCTGATAATTTCCGTATAAACGGACGTCATTGGTTGGACAAATCCGATAATATCAGGTTCAAGGCTCTAAGATGAAGAAATACAATCCCAAAGAATCTGTTTTACTCATTTCCACAAGGGGGTATACTAAGAACCTACATCAATCTTTTTTGTCATCAATTTATTATATTTTGTTTGTGTGTGACTGTCTCAGAATGACCAAATAATGGCTGTCTTGTCTTATTATATGGCACATATGAAAGCAAGGTAATAGAGAGAACATCTTTGCTTTAATGGCCATAAAATTATATTCAAAAACAAGCATTCTGAGAGTATTGCATTAGCAATACTAGTCCCCTACCGGCAAGTGTAATCTGGTTCCGCTCCCATTAAGAATTGAAAATGCCATAATTCCGTCAAAAATTAATGAAGCGGGACGAAATGCAAACTTGATCTATAACTAATCAAGGTAAAGCCACATACCAAAAATCAGCTCAATATCTACAAGCATTTAGAAGAAAATTGCGGAAAACCCCTAAAAATTGAAAAGGCCGTAATTCCGTCAAAAATCAATGAAGCGGAACGAAATGCAAACTTGATCTGTAACTCATCAAGATACACTTACATACCAAAAATCAGCTCAATATCTGTAAGCGTTTAGGAAAAAAGTGCGGAAAACCAAGTGGGACATACTGACAGACAGACAGACAGACAGACAGACAGACGGACGGACAGACTCAGAGGAAACCTATAGTCCCCTCCGGTTTCTCCGGTTGGGGACTAATAATTCAAGATAATTTCACCGGTAGGGGACTAATAATTCAAGATAATTACTTTTTAGATTATTTGGTGGGTGTGAGCTGTTTTATCATGCTCAAGGTAAAAACCGTCTTGGGGAGAAACGAAATTTACAATTATTTGACTATACATGTATCATATGTGTTCTACCGATTATTATTTTTACTATAATTTCACACGGTCAATTTGGTTCTCAGTAACCAATGGCTTAGGCTATTGTTATAAAAAAAAGGTCAAGATAACGAACAGTGATTGATCTCATAAAAATCTATAAACAATAAAAATCTGTGTCTGTGAACAGGGTATATCTGAAGAAAAACTTTTTGTTTTACTTGTTACATTGAAAGAAATGCCATAACGCTTATCTAGTGGCCGGATTGATATTTGATGTGCTATATAAAAATCTAGTGTAATGAATATTCTTGGTCTTCAAGAAATCAAAGTACGAACTTTTCTTAAATTGTTAACAAAATGCATCAGTGAAAGAATCATTGCTATTATTAAAGATTAACCCAGCAAAGGAATTCTCAAGAGATAAATTTATAGACAGAATGAAATCACGGAAATAACCTTTATTATTCAAGAACTAAACCCGTATAAATTCCATAATCTTTAAACGTTTGAACAAATTCTGGTAAAAGTTAAGAGTGAAGCATGAAAATCTTATTTTCTTTTCATCTTCAAATAATTTCTTTGATGTAAAAGGTATAGATCACGAACAGTGATCAAATGATCATTTCTTCACACTATAACTCAATTTTCTCATATGAGTGGGTCTTCGCTCCATATGTTTGAAAGTATATAATATATATATATATATATATATATATATATATATATATATATATATATATATATATATATATATATATATATATATATATATATATATATATATATATATATATATATATATATATATATATAATATTACGGAGGCCCGTTGAGGCCAGTTCAGAGAAAGAAATATATTTTATTGCGTTTAAACGCAATAACTATTGCGTTTAATCGCAATAATCATTGCGTTTAAACGCAAAAGATTGCGATTAATTGCAATGTATATTGCGTTAAAACGCAAAACACTTTGCGTTTAAACGCAAAAGATTGCGATTAAACGCAATCTTTTGCGTTTAAACACAAAGTGTTTTGCGCTTAAACGCAATAATATTTTTGCGTTTAAATGCAATAATTTTTGCGTTTAAACGCAATAATTTTTGCGATTAAACGCAATAATATTTACGTTTAAACGCAATACTTTTGCGATTAAACGCAATATTTTTTGCGATTAAACGCAATAATATTTACGTTTAAACGCAATAATACTTCCTTATAAGGATTTGTTTTGCATTTAAACACAATGAATGATACTGTAGTTTCAAAATCAAACATGAATTAGTCAAAGCTTATAATTACATGTACATGTACTAGGACTCGACACTTCAACTTTAAGAAGATACGATTTGTTCTGTGTCTTTTTGCAAAATATTCCAGTTTTTGAAAATTGTGGTAAAACAATGGCATCCTAACAACCTGAATGTCTTAAATGTATTGGAACCCAAAACTCTTAATGAAGTGTCTGATCAATTTCTTACGTATATCACAACTTATAGAGAATGTTTCAGTGGTATTAAGGTCAGACGATACGTTCCTCAAATATCTGTTTTGTATATCTTCGTATAGTGTGGAAAATATCCAAAATTTTAATTACCTTTTGATTTCTAAACTGGTTTCTAATTGTCTTTCAAAAATTGAAACATTAAAAAATGTGTTATTGGCTAATTAAGTTTTCTCCAAAAGGATTATATAGGAAACATCATCTTCTGGTAATTTCAACAAATGCCTGGTAAGGTACCTCAATTTTTTGTGAGTAAACATGTTAAAGTAGCAATACTTCAAAGACAAAATCTTAGAAAAAATTATATATTATTGAGGAACGTATCGTCTGCCCTTAAAGCACTTGTCAGTTTGATACATGTAGTGCACATCGACCAATATGTTTTCATTTGATTTTGATTTTGATCTCATACATGTATAAATCCATCACATATGTACTTGTGTTTACTATATGCAACCATAGGAAGGGTTATGAATGTACATTAAAGTCTAAATACTTCATCATGTTGTACGTAATATCAACATTTCCTCAGTCCTTTCAAAAAATCCCTTTATACATTGGTTAAACTTGTGACCACAACGTACGGGACAGTTTTTTTTAACAGAGCAA